TATTATTGTGCTACCACGATACTCAGGGACATTACACGACGGTAAGCGGATTTACAATGTATGTGACTTGTCCATGTCCAACAAACTAAAGATAATTATGTACTAGGTTACTTTGCTAGTTAGAGTTAATAATAGACCATTGAGGAAAATTCTCAAAATAAATGCATAATTAATAGGGATGGGCCAAATATTCAATTTATATTCGGTATTCGGCATATTCGGCAGCTTTACCGAATATTCGTAATCGGCCGAATATTCGGCTAAATCACCGAATATTCGTTAAAGTGAAGTGTCCACTGTATTTAAATGTACGAATTGAGTAATGCCATGTCTTTCATAATTTTACTGTTGAAAGTATATTTTATTTATGGGTTAAAACTACTTGTATAGCATAATGTTTTAAGCATGTACCGGTAATTTGCTCAGTATTAAATAATGCAATAACATGTCAGGTGTGGCGGAGGAGCGATAGGCAGGGTCCGGCGATAATCCCACGCACTTTACTGTAACAAGTTTTGACATAAATTGATTATGTACCGAGGTGATCCTGCCGAATAAAGTTCGGCCGAATATTCGATTCGGTAAAAGTTTTACCGAACATTCGGCTGAATATTCGTATTCGGTGAAATCCATATTCGGCCCATCTCTAATAATTAACACTATGTATTATATTATTACTTGTAAAATAAATTAGGTACTTTTGAGCGATGTGAACGTTGTTGGTAGAGCAAGGGTTAGAACTTACAATACATACAATTATACGTAACGTAATTAATTCTATTGCGAATAGGCGCGTTTCACATCTTTATTATTATTTTACGGGTCCATGGCTTAGCAACGAGTTACGGCGCTTAAGCCGGGTTTTCACTATACGAGTACTCTCGGACCGAGTGCGCTCGGATGCCTACTCGGAGCTCGGACGCTACTCGTAGTATGTAAACACGTAATTCGAGCGTAGGTACTCCGATCAGAGTGGAGTCGGATGAGGTTCTATTTTTACGAGTACACTCGGATAATTTTATGGTGACAAAATGGCGCCAACTAAAAAAGTGGAACGAAAATGTTACTCTGAGGTTTGTGGAACTATATGAAGCGGAAGAAGTTTTGTGGAACGTGAAATTAACTGAATATAAAAACAAAGATGCCCGAAATGCTGCAATACAACGCATCATTCATAACTTCAATATACCTCGCAGCAGTTGATCAGTCGTCATCGCTTACAAAGAGACAAAATTAAATGCTACTTTGGCTCTGATGAACTCGTAACGTGTCAACCAAGTTCAGAGTGGACTCCTATACGATCTAGCTCGTAATAGCGCACTCGGTTCGAGAGTACTCGTATAGTGAAAACCCGGCTTTAAGGCCGCGGATTCGAAACCCGCACGGAACAGTTATCTGTATTTTTTTATAGAATAAGGGTAATGGATTTCTACCCCTAGACGACAACTAGTTCTAATAACTGTTTACTTTTTTTTTTTGAAAAACGTTATCCACACACTGGGATTTTCTCCTGTATCGTGGAGGCTGTTTACATACATAAATTGCACAAGAACAAACATCCAGACCCAGAATAATTACTTATAGGCCATGCAATACATTTACATAGTGGTAGACCCACGCTGCAGCTATATTATAGTTGTAGCACGAATGTGTCAACTCGACCGGTGAAGGACCACGCTCTCACAGAATACCAGCGTAAAATAGTGTAGAGATCCGGAGAACTATTTTAACTGGAAACGAGGCATTCCATCTTAGTCCTCAAGGGTGACAACGCCTTTGCTTTTTGATACTTAGTTCAGGATAATTGTGGACGTCTATGGGCCACAGCATCCACTTACCATCAGATGGACTGTGTGCTCGTTTGTCACCCTTATTATATATAAAAAATACTTAAGCTTCGTCCCATATTTTGCCAAACTTCAGGATGGAATTTTGAATAAATATTTATATGGGAGCATCCCTAAGTGTAACTTACTAATTAAAAAAATCCGTTCACAATGGACGAAGATCGCGTAACATACATGCAAAAAAACAACAACAGAGAAACATAGTATAGTCGAATTGTTAACCTCCTTTTTCAACTCGGCTAAAAGAATGATAACAAACGTTACACCGCGAATTCAAAACAAAAAAGTGCACGCTTCAATTAATCGCGATGATAATATAAAATAAACATTGATAAATGCAAATACATTGAAACAACTGCGCGTAATCGAGTTTTGGCGGGATCATAACCACAATTAAATTAATGCTCTTGTATTATCGTTCGTAAAAATATTTCGAAGTGGATTTTGATACGTGACAGTTATGATGTCTGTGCATGTGAATTTATTAGTATTTTTTATAGAATAAGGGTTATCCTCGATTAAAAATCAAAATGCAGACTCGTTATCACTCAGAGTACTAAAATGGAATGTTCCGTTTCCAGTAAAACGGAGTTTCGTTTCCATTAAAAAGGGTCTCCGGTTCTCTACACTCACCATACGAAACACAACAGCTTAACGCTGCTATTTAACGCTGGTATTCTGCGAGAGAGTGGTTCTACCCCGGTAGAGCCGACCCATTCATGCTACAACCATAATATATCTTTTTTTGCAGTCGCTCGAAAAGCACACGAAACGGAGTTCTAACTATCATTGTAATGCCACGCGGGTGTTGTTTTATCAATGCACAGGAAGCGAGGCGTACCTACCGACACGTGGCACGACTTTGATCAAATTATGATGATGCAAAACGATTGTAGTCGGCGCCTTATTGAGAAATATGAGCATACACCATAACTTTACCTATGAAATATTATCAGGTGTACAATTTTATTATCAAGGAGAGAACAAATTATAAAAGGATTATTTTTATTCTATACAGACACTATTTACGTAAAAATCCATTTTTAAGTCATCTTTACTTTTACTACTAGTTCAAAATAAAATCTGTCTAATGAAGAATCAGCAAGAAAACCGCACTTATTTAAATTACTTTTTAGCTGACTTCAATAAAGAAAGGATGTCAATTCGAGTGTGTTTTTTTTTTTTGTATATTTTCGTCAATCGTGGACCGACTTAACAATTTTTATTATTAAATACTTTAGGGGTGGGTCCCATATAATTTTGGAGAAAAAATTCCACCACAGAGGATGGAAAATAGTAGTATGTAGTTATTAAAGTAAGATGAACCAAGCTTTTGATATTCTTTAGTCCACTCTATAAGATCAAAAGAAATATTTTTATACATATAGAATATGGGTGACAAACGAGCACACAGTCCAAATGCTACATTTATCTTCAATTAAGAATCAAAATGTGGATGCGTTGTCATCACTGAGGATTAAGATGGAATGCCTCGTTTTCATTTAAAGGGTCTTCGGTTCTCTACACTAGCCATATGAAACACAGCAGTATTAAGCTGCTATTTTACGCGGGTACCCTGTGAGAGCGGGGTCCTTCCCCGGTCGAGCCGATCCATTCGTGCTACTACCGTATAGCTGCAGCGTAACTCTACCACGAATACATTAAAAAGAATAAAATAATTTCCGCAGAATTTCACCTTTGAAGTCGCCTTTTATTTTTTATCAAGTCTTTTAAAAACCAAAATAAATTAATCTAGCTGTATCGACACCGTGATATCGTAATATTGTTTATTACAGCGTATTATGTTTCGTGCTCTGTGTCCGAAATCTCTTGCCAGTTTTTATTTAAGTTTAGCAAAAAAGACAAGTTTCAACTCTTCCTCTTTATATAAAAAAATGGTATTCAGACTTGTTTAACACTTATTATTTGAATATTTTAAACATTATTTGCATTGATAAAGGCATTAGGATTAAAAAATACATATTGATTGAAAGTAGTACGTAATGGAAAACGATGGCTGCAATTAAAATAGTATAAGTTTTAAAAAAAAACTTGAGCAACACGCATTAATCATGACGAGCTGTGATGAGATGATCCTGATAATTATCTTATTATATCCTGGTGAACCTAATCAGGATACTAGGAAAAAGTTATTATTATATTATCGTCGGTTCTTGATACGAGTGCAAATCCCATCTTCAAGTTAGTGAAAATTACATTAACAGATTCCATTACATGGATATATAGGCAGATAGATACACGCGAAGCTAATAAAAAGCAAGTTTACTCATTGGTTATAAAGCTAATATCTAAAATTATTAACCCTACACCTTTCGAATGATTTGTTGAAGCGCGTATAGTGACCTTCACCTTTCATTCATTCGTGTCTTGCAGATATGTGTAGATAATATTGCATAATGAACTTAGGTCTCAGGTTTCCTCGAAAGAAGCTTGCCTAACGACGAAACCAACAGATATTACCTATTTGTATAGGTAATTGTTTCTGTTAGTTACATTTTTCATTTTTTTTTTATGGTGATTTATTTCTAACCTTAACTATTGAAACTAGGATGTTATAAATTTCAACAATGGCATAATCATCTGTGCCATGAACCCATGATCCATGAATGGAAAAGATCCGTCCGAATTCAATCAAACCTGACGTAATGGCGGAGGCGTTTCTGAATATGTCCGCAAAATGTTAACTTCCCAGTGCGAAGATGTTAACCCTAGATTCATAAACACACGTCTCTCATACACCCTCAAGTAATAAAACTCTTACAGCGCGTGGCGCAAAAGAGGTGGAAATACAAACGTCTCAGTACCTTCCTAAAACGACGAGAGCTCACTTCGGCGCCAGTAGTTTTGGCGCGTACATGAATAGTTTTGGATACACTAAGCCCGAGGTGTTTGAGATACGTATGTTTATGATTAGTGTAACAAATTTATAAAGTAGATGGTTTTATTGTTGGTCTTATAAAACGAAAGAACTTCAAAGAATTTTTCAAAAAAATAAAAAAGGTATGTATTAATTCTATTATATTCTATGTAATTAATTACTATCCATTATCGTGGTTAAAATTTTGATAAGTAAAATATTTTACTAGGTATTAATTCTTTAATTACTGTTATTATTTACTGGTATGCATATGCATGGTATTATTTTCCAGCATGGCTTCTTTGAATGAAGATGACATTTATGCAATATTATCCAAAGTGGGAGACGAGGAAGAAGTGGTTCCTCCAAATGATTTGGACAGTGAAGTTGAGGATATTTTAGAAACAGATAGTGAGGAACCTACAGATGCTTCAAGCGATTCTGATGACGAACCACTTCGAGCATCAAATATTAGTTGACGACGTCGAATAAATTCTACTGACTCATTGGATAATGCCCGACCTACGAAACAGATGAGAAATGTACCTTACAAACACAAATGGAGAACCCTTAGCATCTTTCTTTGTGAAGCAACTTTCCGAAACTATTCAAGGGAGTAATCGTAATGAGACCATGAATAATTGGTTCACGTCAGTGTCTTTAGCAAAAGAACTATTGCAGAATCCATACAAATTAACAATTGTAGGTTCAATTAGATCTAACAAGCGCGAGATCCCTTCGCAACTTTTGCAGTTTATCAAAGAAGTGTCAGATAAAATGATAGAACCCTGGTTACGGCAACGCCGCGAAACACCAACTTTGAGGCGATGGCTAAAACAGAACATCGATTTCATTTTAGGCGATACTTTGCCTGATGTCCCAGCTATCCGCGAAAATCAAACCAGGAAATTATGTAACTTTTGCTGTTGTAAAAAAAAACGTGTGACCAGATTATCTGCACCAGTAACAAACGTAATATGTGTTTGGAACATTGCGGTAATTTGTGCCTAGAATGCTAGGATTGATTTTTTTATAATTGTTTTTTACGTTATAATCCTCAATAAAAGTTCATTATAACTAATATTCATAGTTTTTTTCAATATCTACCGTAATCATTAAATTAGGTGACTTTAAAAGTAAGGTGTATCAGAGACATATGATTATGAACAATGTAACCCTAAATGTAGTTTATGAATCTAGGGTTAAACACCAACTACCTATATGTTCTTACACGTTTATATAACTACAAAATATTCATGACTACCTCCACTTTTGAACTAAAAGCCTTCACACAGTATGGAAATGCTGTCTATTGCAAAATTGTTTAGCATGACAATAAGTGCCCTTAGACATAGAAACTGCGTGTTCACGGGACTCGGATCGAGTATTTGCAAGTTAATTTTTTTGTTAAAACAAACACTTTTAACCGTCACAGTGATTAGAAATCGCGATTTCAAAAATGTGGATTTTTTTTGCCAGTATAATTATTACATGTTGTTTGAACAACCGTGTAGTGACGGTGTGAGATTATCCATTAACCTTTACCCCACCCATATCATCCCGTGGATCTCGTAAAAGGTGAAAGAGGGAAGCTCAAACAGGATATGGACAGCAACATCTTATTGATAAAAATCCAAAACAACTAAATCTCTCGTATGAAGATACAATCTATGCAGAAGACTTATGTTTCAGTCGACTTTATAGGTTAAACAGATATGGATTCCACTTTAGTCCTCGGTGGCGACAATGCACCTGTAGCTAGTCTGCAGTAGCCTATTAACCTGGTGGCTTGTTCGTCACTCTTTTTTTAAACATCCTAATCATCAAGTTAGTAGGATCTGCTACAATCGCTAAGTCAAGTATGTTTGAAACGGATATACTTAGCACGGCCGGTGTGATGTCCGGAAATTTTCCTTAGCTAGAGCTTACCTTAAGCTTTCTGGTAAGACTTGCAACGTATATTCGGTTATGGTTCGGTTTCGACTTAATTCCGCTACTTTTATCCTACTCGGGCGAATACCGAATACTTATGTAAAATGTTTCGTTGTAGGAAAAAATTGGTAAAAATGAATGATTTTTTTTTATAATAATGTATTTTTTAATCAACTTCAGTATTATAAAAATTTAATGAAAAAAATTATTAAATAATTGTCATGTATCCACTTTTTTTCTAAGAGGACGCAATAAAGTTTTTAAAATAAATAAATAAATAAATATGCACTTGAATTATCGTACTTAAAATATAGATGTGGGAGATTATGATGCAGAAAGACTATTTTTTCTTTCTGACAGTAGTTTATTTATTTTCTTCTCGTAGACAATCCCAGCTTCAGAGAAAAGGCACTCTGAATAAACACTACTTCCTTCCTGGCCGAATATTTTTACCAAATATTCGGCTAATCGGTCAGGAAGCCCGCAGAATATTATTCGGTATTCGGCGCGTAGTCGAATACGATTATACTTTGATTATATACCTGTATAATCAAAGATTATACTATCCATTGCAAGTGTACTCTCTAATAAAGCGGAAACTAAGCTGACTTCCGCTAGCGTTTATGACCATAGTCCAACCTTTCTTTTGACACTAGCGAGAGAAATAGGTTTTAACTAAAACTCACATTTGAATAACCAAACAACGACTTGCGTGTTAATATTTGTTTGCAAATTTATGTTAAATGTCGAGAAATAACAGCATAAGTAATATATTTACGCACGTCTTCTTTTATGTATACAACAGATCCTCGAGCGACGTAAGGAAAATTAAAAAACGAATGCTAACTAAATACTTGCTTTGGAATTTTGTTAGTAATTTTGTTCCTGTCGGCAATTCAACTAGACATTGCCTTCTGGCTTCTGGGTATACCAATCTACGCACACAGGAGAGGAATGATATTAGGTTACCATTACCGTACCTGCACTCGTTAAATTCGAAGTATTATTTTTAAGCCCGTACATGAAGAAAAACACATTAATATTTTCATATCGCTAATACAAAGATGATCTATTTATTGTATAAGCATGTATTACATTACATTAAGGTAAAATATGTGTACTTGGAGTATTATTTTTAAGCCCGTACATGAAGAAAAACACATTAATATTTTCATATCGCTAATACAAAGATAATCTATTTATTGTATAAGCATGTATTACATTACATTAAGGTAAAATATGTGTACTTAGTTTTTATCCTTAATTTTACGATGATAGTTATTAAGGTGAAGTGGGCGCCAAAAGCAGATTTTTCTCGCTTTATATGGACTGTTTGGTTGGCCCGCGCGCTCTTTAAACGCACAATATTTATTTGATATTTCTTTTTAAAATGATATTGTTACGAGCTTGAGGTTCGTTACAATTAAAAACCGCCGATTGAATTACCAAAATTTACTTTAATTTTCTTTACACCAATTAAAACTTAAAACATAATTAATCACACTGATTTACTTTATTTCGCTCCGAAGCTTCGCTTGTCTCGCCAAATTCAATACTGTCCCGATCGCGTATGGCAGCGCCTTTAAAATACACCTTTTCACCGAAACATCCAGAATATTCAAGTAAATACGCGCGCCAACCGACCAGGCGCCGAAAGTTCGAGTGTAGGGCTTCTAGAAAGCTTAGTTCTTCAATTCGATACTAGATGGCGCTGTCGGTTGAAAGATTAGTCATGTCATTTGCTGGAAAGCTCTCCTCGCTGTTACCCGACACTAGATGGCGCTAGTGCCAGACGTCAACTTAGGCGCGCAACACTGCGCCTCCTCCTAAGACATGCTCGTCCCGAGCATTATCGGCCCCATAGTAAAGCGCCAGGCGATCCACATGGACATTCTTAGGAGACCCTCTTGCGCCTTTCTGTATCCGGTAGGTTACATTGTTGATCCTGGTCACAATCCGGTACGGGCCGTCCCATTTAGCTTGAAGCTTAGAAGATTGCCCTTTGCTGCGGACTGGATTGTGCAACCACATTAGTGAACCTTCGTCGAACCCTTTGTTGTTCATTTTGCTGTCATACCGGGTTTTCATCTCTTCGGACATGTGCTGGCCCGATTGTCTGACGTAGTCTTAAATGTCATTCATTTTGTTCCGCAAGCCTCATATCACCGATTTGCATAATCGGTGATACTGCGTGGGGCATCAGGTGGTATCCCGGTGATCAGGTCTGCGCGCAGCCGTAATTCTCTTCCAAAGTTTGCGAAAGCTGGTGTCACTGATGTACTTTCGTGAACAGCGCTTCGATATGACAACAAAAACCGTTGTATGTGCTTGTCCCAATCTTGTTGCCGATTGCCTACAACTTTTGCTAGGTACCTCCCCAATGTCTGATTCAATCGTTCTACCACTCCATCAGATTGCGGGTGATAAGAAGTCGTTCTTGTTTTATGAGTACCCATAACTCGGCAAGTTTCCTGGAATATTTGAGACTCAAAATTCCTTCCTTGATCGCTGTGAATCTCTAAAGGTACTCCAAAACGACAGAAGACTTCATGAACTAGTTTATCTGCAACTGTTGAAGCTTCTTGATTTGGAATGGCGAAGACTTCTGGCCACTTAGTGAAGTAATCCATCGCAACCATGAAATACTTGTTACCGCTTTCACTCTCCGGAAACGGCCCCGCCACGTCAATGGCTATTCTCTCCCATGGTGCACCAACATTGTACAACTTTAATGCACCTCTACTACGAGTCTGAGGTCCCTTTACAGCAGCACAACTTGTACATTTGCGACACCAGTCCTCGACATCGTTTCGACAGTGGACCCAGTAAAACCGTTCTCGGATCTTCAGTAGAGTTCGTTTAACTCCCAGATGGCCTCCTGAACAATCATTATGGTACAGCTGTAGAACATCCGGTACTTTAGCTTTAGGGACAACCATTTGCAGATGACAGCTGTCTCCCCGAACATTTTCCCATTTACGGCACAGAACTGCATCCTGAAGCAGCAAGCTGTCCCACTGGGCCCAATAGCTTTTAGTGGTCGAACTCATCGCTGAGACGTCGCTCCACTTGGGCTTGGGAGAACTGGCCTTCATCAATAGCAGAATCGACTTGATGTCCGGATCTTCCTGCTGTGCACGCTGTAAGCTGTCCTTCCACTCGTTGCTGAGGTGGTCTGTCCTGAGCATCCTCACGGATACCACTTCCTTACTCTCTTGCCTAGTACAATGTTTGCAATCTTCAGGACAAGGTCTTCTTGACAATGCATCTGCGTTGCCATGAGATTTCCCGCTGCGATGTCTGATAGTAAAGTCGTATACCTGCTGCTGCTGGGCGGTGATGTTAGCTACACTTCCCTTCTGAGATCGTTCACCTTCCCTTTCTAAGGTTCGCTTAGGGAAGCTGGATCGAAGATGGTCCCTTTCCACACAGCCATAGCACCTAGGGCTGTATCCTTTGTTGTGGTCGCGAACCGTAACTGCTGCAACCTCCCTAGCGTGAAGGGAACGATGATCCTGCCACCGCCAGGCGGTGCCGTTAGCTGCAT